CGCTCTTCCTTTTGTAGATGTACTGCTCCATCTGGAAGTCGAGGTTAGTGCCTCCCAGGTGGGTCCCGGCAGCGAGGAATTTGAGGACATCCTCCTCCTTCATCTGCAGGACATCGAGGCCTCCGGACATTGTGGGGTTTCCCTTTGGAAGCAACGACAGGGAACCTGCGGGCAGAGGGACCCGGCTGAGCGCGGCGGGGACGCGCCACGAGGACCAGCCGCACGCGCCGCCATCTTGGGCCGCCTCCCCCCCTCTGAACCCAGCAGGCCTCGGCCTTCCCCGAGGCTCGGCCAGGCCCGGTCCGGCCGCCGGCCCCGCGGAGGGGCGCGAAGAGAACCCTGGTGTTACCGCCTCGGGGGGACGACGCGCCCCGCGCCGCCCCCGCGCCCCGCGCGGTGGCCCCGACTCACGCTGACAACGCCGTGCGGAGGTCCGGGTGGCGCGGAGCCGAAAGGAAGCCTTGGTCTGCCTGAGGCCTTATATAGCCTCATCAGCCAATGGGGAGCGCGGGAGGCGGGGCTCCGCTGCGGCGGGGGCGTGTCCGGCCCGGCAGGGCGGGATCGGTGCCGGCGGGAGCGATGGCGGAGCGGACGGCTCAGGCCGGCCCTTCCAGGGCCCTGCCCGGGCGTGGTCTGCGGGCGGGTCTGAAAGCTGTGGGATTACGGATCCAGAGAAGGGCAGCGAAGCTAGTGAAGGGTCTGGAGCACAAATCCTATGAGGAGCATCTGAGGGAGCTGGGGGTGTTTAGCCTGCAGAAGAGGAAGCTCAGGGGTGACATTATCGCTCTCTACAACTACCTGAAAGGAGGTTGTAGCCAGGTGGGGGTCGGCCTCTTCTCCCAGGCAACTACAGGGTAAGAGGATGCAGCCTCAAGCTGCACCAAGGGAGGTTTAGGTTGGACATTATGATGAATGTCACAGAAAGGGTGATTAGACACTGGAATGGGCTGCCCAGGGAGGTGGTGGAGTCATTGCCTCTGGAGGTGTTTAAGAAAGGACTGGATGTGGCGCTTCATGCCATGGTCTAGTTGACATGGTGTTCTGTCAAAGGTTAGACTTGATGGGAGGTCTTTTCCCACCTGATTGATTCTGTGTTTCCATGATTCTGGACAGGAGTAACTGTTTCAGAGCTTGTGCTCCAAACAAACTCAAGGCTGTTTTTGAGTCTTTGAAGTGAAGAGAGAGCAAAGATTTATTTTAAACACTTTACACTTCTGTTTTCCTGCTGAAAGTGAAATATATGCTCTTGTTTTCTGGGGCTGATGGTTATTTTATTAATTACATCTAGCTTCTAACCTGCCTGCTGTGGGGGGAAGCTTCTAAGGGGCCATAGCATCTTCCCTGCACCCACAGTTTCCCTCCCTGCTGGGGCACTGCTCCGAGAGCTTGTTCTGCCAAAACTGTCCATAAAAAGAGGTTAAATTGGCACTGAACTTACACATCCTGTTCTGCAGTGGACATTCGTGTGGTACTTGCCCTCCTGGGGTTTTTTGTTGGTTTTTGGTTTGTTGGGGTTTTGTTTGTTTGTTTGCTTTTAAGAAGCAACAGAAAGGGATGAGACTTAAGGATCTTCATCATCTTTCTCCTCTTCTTTGTCCTATTCTGGAAGCAGGCACAGGCCTGACAGTGGAAAAAAGAAAAGTAGCAATATTTACTTTGTTATGCTTGCTATTGTCCAGATCCAGATACATTTCTGGACAAGTTTCTGGACCATGCAAACACTATTGCCAGTGCCTTCTGCTAGTAGTAATTCATCTTCACATCGTTTAATAACAGTTTTCTCTCCTCTGTTTTAACCTAGTTTAACCTCAGCAGTGTGACTGGACATGGATTTTCTTGAGAGCCTGTTTGCGATGTCTGCACACTGAGTTGCTCTGGAGAAGATTGTTTAAGTAGCAGGTTACAGTGCCATCTCATGTATGCTCTTCACCTCCTAGAAAATGGGACCTTGTCGTGTTTTGGTGAGGGGCCACTGCCAGCCACTTTCCAACATTTCCACAAAACTTCACCTTGCAAGTCAGGAGCTGGCGTGCTTGATAGATGATGTCAATTAGCAAGATTACCAGATCAGGTTTAGGATATTTTTTAAAGAGTAATTCAGACATTTGTCACATGGTGGTGACAAAGTAGGTAAAATGAAACTCAGCAACTCACTAGTGAGCTCTTGTCAGGAGCATGAATTATTATTGACAGGTTATAGACATCTGTGGCACTTTGACAAGTGCACTGGGGACGGTGACAGCTGACCTGATGGGCTATATACAACATGTGTCTCTCCTAACAGGAGCACAGTGTGAATATTAGCCTGGGGGGAAGAGGGGAGGTGGTGGTGATGTTACCGTGGTGTGTGCCATGAATTTAGTCTGGAGAGTTCTTCTGCACAATCGAAATCCAACTGTATTAAAAGTGTATTTCAAGATAATGATTGGAAGTTAAGTAATAAATATTGCAGTAAATACAATGTTATCAAAAGAGTGCCACTGGTAAGCATTCCAGACTCCTCTGGCATCTCTAATACTTAATTTATTTCTTCCTGTTACACTTTGGAGACTGTCTGGTAGACCATGAGCCCCACAGCCCATGAGAGGGCTTGGAAGAGTCATGATAAAGCTTGACAGTAAAGTATTTCTAATTATTTCCTTGAGTAACCTGAAAACTTGCTCTGTTTTTCCACTGTGTGCTGAGACTTTTTAAAATAAATCTCTGTTACAAATGGACATGCCCCTCAGGTAGAAGTGTATCTATCTTACCATGTGTTTTAGACCTGGTATCTCTGGTCTAAAGGTCACACAGAAATCTATTATGGAATTACATACAGAGCTTGGCAGACATTGCTTTTTATAAGCTGAGTTGGATTCAAGATATTCCTTATCTGAGGAAACGGTTTAATCACCTCATCTGATCACTAAGATATTGAAGCTGATATTAGACATGAGCACCTTGAATATGAAGGACAGATATGTTTCTACTTCTTTTGTGCAATCTGTGGACATGGCCATAGCTGCGGCTGTTCCCGTTTGGCTGGTTTGGACTATACAGTCAGTACCAGCAAGGCAGTGACACCCTGGAACATGCCGTGCATAGGGTCTCCAGGATGGAGCCTGGAATGCTCAAGGGAAGGCTGAGGGCAGTTTGTGGGAACAGGGACTTGTGGCATGCAAAGGGCCCCATAGAAAGGGGCTTTTAGCCACTGGTCCTCCTGCAGTGCCAAGGAGACTCGGGGCCTACAGGTACAGAGAGAAGCATCATGGAGTTACTACCAGCCTTTGGGTGATGCCTTGAGAAGCTTGAGCAGGTTCCTGGGGTAGTCACAAAGCCCCAGAAACAGCATCTCTCTGACAGCCAGCCCAGGCTTGCAGGAGAGAGCAGCAGCCCTTGCCAGAAGCCTATGAGTAGTGGGCTGTAACAGGACCCCCCAGTGGTGGGACAGAGGGCTCCTCACAGGGCTGTGATGGGGGCATTCTGTGCTACCAGAACAGGTCCTGCAGTGAATGGGTTGGATTGTGTGTCTTGGGAAGAGTCTCAGGCAGAAAGCTCTTTCAGCAGTATCTTCCCTACCAAACATGCCCTCACCCAAGAGATGGTGTGGCACCCCTGGAGCTGGACTCTCCAGAAGACAAAGGAGAACTGTGAAGATCAACCCACTTCTGGTGAAACTGCACATTACCATGCTTCCCTGCCAACTCCATCTTGGCTTGTTTCAAAGGTTTGTTATTACTTCTTACATGTTTTGGGAAAACATACTTTGGCAAATCTATTCCCTTCTTATTTCTAGTTCTACAAAGAAATACTATTTTGAAACAAGAAGCAAAGCCAGAAGGGATAAGCATATTCAAGAGCTCTGCATGGAGTTTGTAGAAGTACAAATATATACCTGTGTATGTGCGTGTGTGTGTGAGATGAGGAATACCTTCTGTTTAGTTCTGGTGTCAGTGATTATGCAGGGCACATAATACATTAAAAATTTAAAAAGCTAGCAAAGTGTTCGCCTATTTTTTATGTGAAAGGGAGATCCGTAACTCAGTGTTTGGCTACAATGACAGTGCCTTTAAACTTTGAGTCTTTCCCACCCTCTACCGCCCCAAGAGGGTTAGGGAGCTTATCTGCTATCTCTTCTCACAGCTGGGGCAGCTGTCAGCAGCATGAAAAGGTGGTTCTCCAAGACAGCAGGAGAGCTCTGGGGAGCCCTGTGTTTAAGAGCAGGCACTGTCCCAGCCCATACTTGAATTATCAGGTACCTGCACAAGTAGTTCAGATCCAGTTGACACAAGGGGACACAGAACTGTCTCACAAGTCTGTTACAGATAACTCTCCACAAAAATTGTTCCATGTGAGAAGGTATCATCTAAGTAACATCTGAAAAGAGAAGAGGTTTGGGATCTTCCCATGCAGAAGATGTACATCTCAGTATCAACAACATCAATGTTTTGCTGAGCACAACATGCCTGCTACTGAATCCCAGGACCATAACGTGACAGCAAGAGGACATCCCAGCAATCCATCATCACCATGCATTATGCCTTGCAGGAGACAATTTCTGGTCCCCTGCTGAGATCAGACTGTCTGAGTAGCAAAGACCTGGTTGGTTGGAGATTGAAAACAGTCTCTCCCCACAAAGATTAAAACCCCACTGTCCTAAAGGCAGGTATTTCACCAGGAAATTCAACTTATCTGTCTTTACACACAGCAGGCAGGCAAAGGAAGCTGTGCAAAAGACAAGATTCCCCATTGCTATGTGTTTTTTCCATTTAAGTAAAGCTGATTTAGGTTGTACTAGCACAGCCTGTGCATATTATACACCACTGAAGAAGAGAATATCCACTGCCTTGTATGGGCCCTGCAGACATGCAACAGTTCTGTTCTCTTGGGAAACTCCTTTTGCCTTCTTCAGCCTCTCTTCCATCCCATCCCTTTGGGGATTGTTTGATTGGTTTGTGGCTTGGTTTTTGTTTTGTTTTTTGGTTTTTCTTTTAAAGAAACACTGAAGAGGAGTTTCATTTGTTTTGGCAAGTAGTTTTTAATAAAACATAATACACCTTGTCACATAAATATTTTATATAGACACATAAGCACTCACAATACTTAAAGCCATGCAATGTTCCAAGGTTCCAGTTCTGTTTAAAACAGTGCAAGGGAAAAAAAAATCATCACACAGGAAGAATGGAAACATGAAGTTTCTAAAGCATATACAGACTATTCCTCTTGTGTCCTTACAACTCACTTAAATACAGCCTGTCTCAACTCGCTAGCCAGTTGTGTTCTTATGCCACAGCTGCAGGGGCAATGCACATTCACTAAGAGTGTATTGCCAGCATCAGAGGTCATCCAAGAGGGATCCAGCTGGGATCCTGCCATACGTAGAAGGGATCACACCACTGTCTCTGGAACCCAAGCTAAGATGGCTTTGATTATCCAATAGGATTGTTAGTGTTGAATTGCTGGCACCATGCAGGTAGGTGATCAAGCACCTGTGCCCAGATCTTTTATTTCATTTACATTGCATATAGGGTGTAAAGTGACCATTTGTTGTTAATTAGAAGCACTAAACTCCAAGGGCAATATATCTAAACTTGAAGTCTGCACTCTTTTTTTTGCCTTGACTTGCTGTAGCTATCAAAAAGTAACTTCAATAAATCACTTTAGAAACAGAAAGGGAAGAAGGGAAAAGGGTGAAGGAGAACCGAAGTCGAGAAATAGTCTTGTGCTTGCCTATGTGATAAAGCTTTCAAAAAAAGAGTGAAGCAGAACTTCAAGCTTTCCCTTGCCCCATAAGAGACTTGACAAAAATATAATACAGAAAAACAAACAACAAACTTGCACCGCAGAATTCATTCTCCCCAGCTCACAGGTAGGTAAGTTTTTGGATTTGCAGCACCAACGGTAAATGAAACACAGTGCAGTTTAGATTCACTGTTTATTATACTCAAAGGAGCTCAGGCTAATTTACAGGTCTAAAGCACATAGTTTTTCACTCTACTCCAACATCAAAGCATCACCTCATTCTCTACAAAGGGGAATGGAAGAACTTTCCCAAAGAAAAAGCAAACACTGAATCAAGATTTAAGACAAACAGTAGACTTTAAAACATGGTGCGTGGGAGTAAATTCTCTAGTTCTTTGTTATTTGACCAGGCAGGAGTACAGGGCATAAAAGCCACCAAAACATTCCTGAATTTCAGGTTTCTGATGAGGATGTTACCTAGTTCCAGATTTATCACCTGGCATTCCTTGGCTCACTTGCCTCATGTTTCTGTCTGCACAAGCTGCACACTGCTTTGCCATCGCTAAATCAGGAACTAAAATACGTGTGAAGCACCTTGAAGGCGACCCCACACCCCCCCCCCGACTACCACTGCCCAGGAGATCAACAGATCCAACTCGCACACCAGATTTAGAAAGCCCCAAATAAACTCAGGCTTCCAGCACAATGTTAGTTTGATCCTATGTACAGGGGAATAAAAGACAAATGAGGTAACTTGTGTAATTGCCACCTTATTCTGCCAGGTCAGCAACCCTTGCCTTGGTTCTCCAGCTCTTTGTGCCCGTAGTGCCCAGGATAACAAACAAGCAGGATGAGCAGTTAGCATGGTTTCATGTGCTCTCACAAGTTCAGGTCACTAAGGGTAGGAAGGACAGCAAAAGAAAGGATATGGTAAATAATGTGCCAGATGCCTGACAGTGAGAAGCAGCAGAGGGAATCTGACTGCTTGTCAATCCCAACGTGGAACAATTTGATGCAGTGCTCTATTATCAACACATAGACATGTGCACACGGGACCCTCCACCACCATTACTGGAGACTCCTGCACTGTGTAGCGTCAGTGTCCCCTCACAGGTGGGCTGAGACTGAAAACAGGCAACACCTTGCAAGCCTCCAGCCTGTCCCCTTACACTTTACTTAACTTTCACACCAGTTATCAAACCGTTTTGGAGTTGAAATCTGGTAGAGAACACCTTTAACAATCCACATCCCCTCTACTCTTGTGCTGAGGAGGTTGCCAGGGCAGGCAGTGATGTCCAAATTACACTCTGAAATTTATGAAGAACAGGTAGGTAGCACTGATTGTTCATACAGCTACAGTGTCACGCCTTTGTCTTTAGAAACGGATGCTCTGGTTTTTAAGTTAATTGTAATATCCCTAAGTGTTTAAGAAAATAAAAGCCAAAGCTAAGTTTTCTACAAGGCACACTACAGAACAGGATGCACACTTCCATGTCAGCTTCATGGCTATGCTAACAGAGCTGCAAGAGATCCAACCCACCACAGAGGCACAAGTGAAGAGTGGAGCAGGCTGTACCCAGGTTTGGACAGCAAACACTGTGAGGTCTGTGTAACACAGTAGGAAAGAGTAAGAAGGCACAGTGGATGGAAAATGTGTATTTCTCTCTAAGCCTAAACTCAGGGATACTCAAATATGGACTACCTGAAAAGAGAAAATGATCAGCTGGGAGAATGTGAGGGTCTTTGTGGAGCCCAAGGAGAAGTAAAGTTCCCTACCAAACACTCACAGGGCTCAAACTTTGGAGAAATCTTACAGAAAGAGCAGCCTTTTCTTTCCAAACCCAAACATACTCCACATGCAATCAGCAGCGGCTTTGGGAAACCTGAAGTGCCACTATCTGTATCTGTTTCCATCATACCTTTATGCATTATGAGCCATGACCCTCAAAGCTACATCGAAGGAGCAGTTCGCACCGAGGATGTTGATCAGGGATTAACAAATGAGTAGTGGGAAGCAAGTAAATCTCTACGACAACTGGATAAAAAGAAACGCACAACAAAACCCACTTGAGCATTCCTGCTAATGTTAAACCAGCAGGAATTTTTTTTCAGAGAACAAGTAGAACTTTGGTAACAATCAATTCTAAAGTGCCTTATGCTTATTAATTCCAGTGCAAACACTGCTGTAGAGGCAGAAGCACACTTCAAGAGTGTGAAGATGCTCAATCACATAATAACACAAAACACAGCAAGGAGGTTCCAGTTACTCTCTCTGCTATCACGCACAGTACGAAAGTGATGTCAGAGACCATGTTTCTAGCTTTCCTTCAGCACTTCATTTCTCTTCCAGCCACTCCTGCAATATAAGCATTAAGAGACACATCCAGTCCCCCACTGGGGCCTGCAATGTTCCTCTGTGAGAACAAAGCATATGAGGAAGGAGGTTCTATATCAGACAGTGGCTCACTGTGGCCTTACTGGCCACATGAGCAAGGAACAGGCTGGCAGGTTTTCTCCTCAAACACTTTTGCTCTAGGAATGTCTCACTGCGTAAAGGTGGTGAGCACAGAGCTATTTTTAAAAATAGCTGAAACTCTGCCATTTCTCGTGGCAGTCTGCAAGTGCAGTCCCCCTGGAATACATTGATCAAACAATGCAAAGGTCCAGCCTTTCCGTTCCTCTACTTGCCAAAAGGCCTAATCCCCTGTCTCAGAAGGGCTTTCTTCCTCCTGGCTGAGCAAGGCTTATTCCTCTGTGGAACTGGGAACTTCCTAGTGCCAGTTGATCACAGCAAGCAGGAGAAGGAGTGAAGCTGGTCATTTCTCGTGCAACTCGGTCAAGACTTCAAGCCCATTTTTTCCATCATCTGTTCATACACCGTCCATGCCATTGCTGCCATCAGAGTGCGCCTGAGGGCACGGGGCACACCACCTCGGAAAAAGCCAACCAACCCAAAGTCCTGCAACAGGAGATACACAAAAAGCAAGTCATCACAGTCTGCCTCTAGCATTTCAATTTCTCATCATTTATTATGTGGAAGAGCACAGGATGTATTTCAGCTCAGACTCAGATCAGTTTCTGCAAGATCCAGCCTTAAATAGCATTTAATGTTTAGAAAGAACCTGTAGCACTGCACAATTGCAAGGCTACCCAAGAAAGCAGGAAGAGCAGTGAGTGGAGAATGCAATGACAAGATGGAGACAATAGTTGGGGAAGTCCAGCAAAGAGAAGGCATGGTAATGGTTTCAAGACACTTCAGGAAAATTACTTGTCTTTGTTTTAGAGCTTCATATTTACAAAAATCACTTAGCTGTTCTGTAAAAACAGATTTGCAAGTACTGAAGTAAAAAAAACTTTTGATATGAGAAAAGAGTTACATAAAAATACATACAAAAATAAACAGATTCCTGTTTAGGAATAGAGTTCAATATGGAAATAAAGCAAACCTGTCAAGATCTGCCCTTCTGAGAGCAGGAAGGGAAAGGTGGGCTTTGAGTACATCTCCATCCTATTCCTAGGATACAGATCTGGGCATTTATTTCTCTTCTAGTGTCCAAAAGACAAAGAATTATTTTGTATCTGGTTTGTATCTGAAACCATCATTTCAGACTACATACTATAGTCTTGGTTTCCCACAGCATGACCCCCTTCATCATTCGAAAATGCTGACACTGATTAGCCCGACTGCAAGAGCATATCAAGCACTGACACTTGTTCACCTCCTTTTCAAGGCAAAAACTTCCCCAGAATAGCTGTGCTTCAAGCAAGGGGATCAGAAATGAGGTTGTGATTGCATGTATTAGAAGGGATTCACCTCACCTTGTAGATGAAGGCAATGGCCTGGCTTGTCCTGTGGTACTTTTGGGGGGTCAGCTGCATGTGTGTTTTGATGACATCAGCAGGCTGCGTTGCCAGCGAGGCCAAGATTCCCGCAAAGATCCCACAGCCAAAATTCAGCAAGGGCATGAGCACTGGATCCAGCTGGTCTGCAACAGAGCAAAGGGAATGCACTCAGACAGAAAACAGGCCGGGAACATTCATGCTGTGTGACAAAGAGAAAGCTACTTGATTAAATCAACATTGTAAAATCCTTGCAGGTAAAGAAACCTTTCCAAGGGAAATATGGCTACTAGTCAAAAGTTAGCACTACTAAAAAGCCTCACTTGCTGGGGAACTGAATTTGACAGAAACTCAGAAAAGACAAGACTGTAGAAATGTTGCCCCAGTCAGTTCTAACATCAGAGAAGACCCAGTTCAGTGGAAACAGAGCAGTATGCAAGACAAGCAGAAGTAGCAAGCAGTGCTGAAGATGTGCTCTCTTTCAACTGTTCCCTAACTCACCTTATTGCATCAGTCTTCATTAAGACATCAATCAATTTAGGGCCATTTCTGCACTGACCTCAGCTATAGGTCTACAGTTCTCCACAGGAAAATGTGGATGTCTCACCTAAGGCCCTGCAAGAGACTAATTTAACTCCTGAGGTGGAGGGCAGTAAGCAGAGCATGCAGGCTGTCAGCTGCAGGGCAAGATCCAAGAAAGGAAATATTTTCCATTCCAGCCTCCAACAATTATCCTTACCCTGAAGTGTGAGTTTTTTGGTCTGTGTGTAGAACATCAGGTATATGCCAGAGAAGGGGGCATCCCGCAGCAGTGTCGCCGTGAGCCCACTGAACATGCCACGAGCCCCTTCCGTCTGATAGATATTCTTCAGAGCTCCATATACACTCCCATAGCCAAATCTTCCACTCTGCAAGAGTACACGAAGGTCAGTAATCCATGTGCCAGGCACAGGTCAAGGAGCCCTATACACACCCTGAGGCCATCCAAAGAAATGGCAGTATGCACTCAGTGTGATGCCCAAGATGACAGCACAGAGGACAGACCAAGACAAAAACTGGGTTTCACCTGCCTCAGCCTTTAAAACAATCTTTCAGGAAGGTAAAACATGAAAGATGCTACACATACATCCTACACAACTGAAACTTAAAAATCTCAGGGTGAATTTTGTGTCATCTTACACTTCTTGCCTAAGTATCAGTGCGTGGCATCTCCTGCACAGTGTGTGAACCAGGATGAAAACAGGTCTACATCCCTGCCTGTACCCCAGTGGCAGTAACCTTCTCCAGACAGAAGAACTTATTTTTCATCACCAGGAAGGTGTGTGACACCACTAACAGGGAACTAATTGGAAAGGCATACCTCATATCGGGTCTTCACTACAGTCACTGGCAACATGCAAATCCCAGAAACTGCACGTGCAGTGGCACCCAGAAAGACAGACTCCAGGGCTGTGGGTGAACGGTCCACGAGGAACTTTTGCTTCATCATGTACAAAGTGCTGAAGTAAATCCCAACCCCAGGAATACATCTTGCAAAGGACTTCAGAAGAAACAGAAGCAGACGAAGAAAGAAAAAGCTAACGTAAGACAAAATGTACTACAGAACATTTCTGAGACTGTTAAACTTGACAGAAGGCTTTGTAGAAAACTAAGAAATCACTAAAGCTAACATGCCAAGGAAAGAAGATAAGGTAAAAATTATTTATGGCACTGACAGACAAATGATTCAAATGATGCCAGGATTTAATGCATTCCTCAATGGCAGTTTTCTAGGAACAAGATATTCCAAACCAAAAGGAAGTTCGTGCAGTTGCCATCCCATATTTGCAAAAGTATTCCAGTGTTCAGCTGGTCAGGACTGCAAAACCACAGGGAGTGCCATAACCAAATCAGTGGAATTCACAACAGTAACTCCTTAAAATTGGATATACTCTAAATCATGTGGTTTCATTCATAATTGTACAAGAGTTGGCTATTTAAATCCAGGCAGACGTAGTAATAAACAGTAAATTTATTTATCTATTTATTTTCAGAAGTCAGGGTTAAAACAGCCACTTACTGGAGAGACACCTTTCCAGAGCCCCAGAATACTCTCAGTACGAACAACCCTAAAGAGCAGCCTTACCATCCCAGCACGACCAGACCTGAAAGAAAGACAGGAACTGCAGAGATGACCTGCTCCTGCTACCTGGCAGATGTACTCCATGGCCCCCCCCTTTCATGCCTATCTCTGTGCATTACTCTGAGGTGCTCTTTCTCAAATCAGCCTGCTTTTCTTGGTCTCTCTTTCCAGGGCTTCTCAGTCACCTCCTGTTCCTCACCACTTGTAACACACACTAGAGCCCACTCTCATTAGCATTTTTAGCTGATCATTCCCTTTGTTAGCAGCAGCAGATATAGGCATACACGAAGCAAATGGGAGCATCTGCCTGCATGGAAAAGTTATCCTAGGATAACTGCACCAGATATTTCAGGCAGAGGACACCCCATGAAACTGCACAGCAGCCACTCCAGCAAAACAGTCTCTCAGAGGAGAACAAACAAATGCTGAGGTTACACATTATTACAGCATATGTAATATTAATTATTAAATATATAAAAGTAGCGTTCACAACCGCAGACAGTTTCCCTCTTCTGGAGTAAAATATCAATCCTTCTCCATGATATAAAAACATACCTCCTCTTTCAAGAAGACTCCGAGCTCCTGAATTACAAACCTGAACTCCAAACCCCAGCCAGCAAATAAAGCAGAAGCCTATGGAGGAGCACCCCCACGCCCCCCACGCATACACATCCCCACCCCCTCACCCATTCACGGCAGGCTGCAGAGTTTGCAGGCGGGTTTTCAGCAGGTCAAGGGGTTGAAAGAGGAGTGTAGAACAAGTGCCACTGATGGAGCCACACACAAAGGCCTTTAGGACTGGATGCATCTGGAAAAGGAAGAATAGAAATTTAAATGGCCCTTTAATTAAGACTGGCACAAAAAGAAATATTGCAGCTGGTATGTCGCACATTACATGAAAGGAAGACAAGCTGACCCCAGATGCTAAGGACTGTTTTTAGGGCACAGAAAATTTTGCCAGACCTTTTCTGAGGCTGATTATGTTTTATTTGTGGTTTTTGGGCCCTCTGCTCTTTTTGGGAGATTGTTCCAGAATCTCCTTGCAGTTCGGTGGTTGGAAAGAGTTTTCTGAACATCGAATGTATTAGCAGCCATTTGGTTACCATTTGCCATGTCAAAAGAAATGGGTGCCCCCTTCCCACCACCTACCCCTACCTTTGCCCCAGTCCCATCCACCTCTGCTGGCAGCACCTCCTACCCTTCCTCCCCACTCTGCACACCAAGGTCCCGCACTCCCACGGGCACCAGTGGGCTTCTTCCTTAAGACTGCCCTCGACCCAAACCTGGCCCAAACTGACCCAAAGCGCAACACGGCCTGCTCGGCTGAGCTGTGCCTCCCGCCTTTCCTTACCCACATCGGCTGCCGCCTGACGGCGCTTCTCGGGTAACGATAAGGCAGGAGATACAAATCACATGGCCGGGTGAAGATTTTTTGGGGGTTTTGTTTGTTTTTATATAAACATATAACTGGGTTTTTAATGGACAACGAGTTTCTGCGCCCCTTGGCACAGCAGATGAGGAAACACGGACAGACCAGAAACTGCACGGCGGTGTCCAGAAAGGCACATTCAAAGACAGCAATGGACCCCCCGAGGCCCGACCACCCCCCACCGCCCGGACCCACCGCTACGGGGCTGGGCCCGCGCGTCCCTCCCCTCCTGTGCCTCCCGCTGCCCCGGGGCCGCGGAACAAGAGCCGGGCGGCCGCGGACCGCGATGGAGGAGGGCGGGGGGGAGGGGAGAGGCAGTGAGTCCCCCGCCGCCTCCCACCCGGGCGCTGCCTCGGGGCTCTCCTGGGCAGAGCGGGCGAGGAGGGCCCGGGGCAGCGGCCCGGTCCGGCCCAGCCGTACCTCAGCGTCCCGGCCCGGCATCCCCGCGCCGCCCGCAGCCAGTGAGCGCGGCGGGCAGCGGTGACGCCCATCCAGCGCCGCCGACCCCGGGCCGGCCCCGCTCCCGCCCGGCGCATGCGGGGCCTGTAACCCTTCGCTCGCCGCGCCGTCTGTCCGCCGAGACACCCGGGCACGATCCCGGGAGCGAGCGGCGGCCGCCCGGCCCTAGCCGGCTCCCCCCAGCCGCTTCTGCCTCGGAGTCGCGCTTTCGTCAGTTCTCTCCGCCGTTCGGTATAGAATCATAGAACCGCAGAATCGTAGAATGTTAAGGGGTTGGAATGGACCTTAAAAGATCATCCAGGCCCAAGCCCCGCTGCCATGGGCAGGGACACCTCCCACTAGGCCAGGTTGCTCAAGGCCTTATCCAATGTGGCTTTGAACACTGCCAGGGTTGGGGCATCCACAACCTCCCAGGCAACCTGTTCCAGTGTCTCACCACCCTCACAGTAATGAATTTTTTCCTAGTATCTAGCATAAATTTCTCCTCTTTCAATTTGTCCCCATTAATCCTTGTCCTATCACTAGAGTTCCTGACAAGGAGTCCCCCTCTGGCTTCCCTGTAGGCCCCCTTCAGATTCTGGAAGGTTGCTGTGAGGTTTCCACACAACCTTCTCCAGGCTGAACAGCCCCAGCTTTCTCACCCTGTCCTTGCAGAGGAGGTGCTCCAGTCCTCTTATCAACTTTGGGGCCCTCCTCTGGACTTGCTGCAACAGTTCCATGTCTTTCTTATGTTGGGGACAGCAGAACTGTACTCAGTTCCAGCAACTGTATGCTGTATTCCAGAACTGTACACTATATCCAGCAACTGAACCCCAAAGTGCTTTCTCAGACACGGGCAGTGGGAAGCACTGGTTCATAACCAGCAGCTTCCATGTCTTCCTTCAGTTCACACCCCCTCACTTCCCCACAAAACCAGCTTCTTGTGGAGATTGTGTCATTCAGAAGCCTGAGCTACTCCCTAACGCTTCCTTACCGCTACTGGTAGTGTTTCCACTTGGTCTTCCACATCCTGGGCCTGGAGCAGAGGAGGGCTGGGTTTCCAGAGCATTGGAGAAGTAAGGCACAGAAACGAAGCTTTTCAATATTAGACCTGTGCCAGCCCTTAGACCGTGCAGCTTCGCTGTGCCTGCAGAATCAGACACTGCTTATCAACGAAGCCGGAGGAGGCTGGGAGGAGCATGCAATGGCTTTGGCAAGCTGCTTTTCTGAGAATCTGGCCTACCAGCTTGCCGAGCCCTGGGCAAGTAAGGGACAGCATATCCAGAACGTCATGCTCCAGCTAGCTGGGCTGTTCCTAGAAAGAATTCCCTGGGCACAGCAGTAGCCACATGCACAAACCACTTTCTGTCATGTGCTCGCTTTGCCACATGGCAGCCCCTGAAGAAAGAGAGAATATACTTCTCTGAGAAAATGTAGCACACAGGCTGGTAAAAGCGCTTCATTAGATGCTCTCTTCCCTTTTGCAAGCTCCTCTCTTGTTATGCAGTTCTCTCCTCAGGGGAGTAACTGCCTTATATTTCATTAACTGACTTTGCCTACTAACTCATGGAAAAGAGGATCAGCTCACCCCCATCCATCCTGGTACCTCTTTCCTGTGCTGGTTTAGAGGTAAACCAGCAGGAGAAATGAACCCAACTCAAAAGAGATTATAAGTCAGAGTCACAATTTAGTAAAAATAATACAATAAATACAATTATATGGGCAAACAATTGGTTTTAACCCACAAAACCCAGATGTATAACCCAGCACCCTGGGCATGAACAGAATGTTGTTCATTGGCCCCTGTGCTGAGCTCCACATGGTCCCTCTGAGTCCAAAGTTAAGGAGAGGAAAACTTGTTGGTGAGAGTGCTAGTGGCAGTCTGGTCAAGGGTGATGGTTACAGTCCGGTCATGGTTCTAGTGGTTCTAGTCCTCCTCTGGATCTGACAAGTGAGTCCAGAAATCACAAGACCCCAAGATTATATACAAGGTTTGAGTGGGAATGCCCAGTACCTCCCCCAGGGCGGAAAGTTCCACAGTGGGTGATTGTGAGTCTGGAATCCTTGATGGCCCATTAGCAGACATGACCCCTTAGGTTGGGTGTGGAGGTGCTAATGACTCTCCTCCTGGGAGTTATTACACCTGAGTCATTAGTGTGAGGATAGGAACATCTTCCTATCTCACAGGCTTCTTAACATGCTGCTTATAGCCTGAGGGGTCAGGTGTGCTCTGGGCAGCTGCTGCAAATGGTCTATTGTTAACAGTTCCTGGGAAATGACATAGAGGGTGTAGAATACACAGTTTGGGTTACACCCACACAGTGATGAACTGGTCCCAGCTGCTCTAATTAGGACATTTCCCTACCTCACATCCTGCTCCACTGTGGACTTCCACAGGGACAACATGTGTCACTATGGTCTTCTCCACAGGCTGCAGGGGAATCTCTGCTCCAGAACCTGGAGCACCTCCTTCCCCTCTATCTTCACTGACTGTGGAGTCTGCAAGGCTTTTTCTCTCACATATTCTCACTCTCTCACAGCTGCCGTTGCACAGTGTTTCTGAATCATAGAGGCATTGCCAATATCACTAATGGACTCAGCTTTGGCCAGCAGCAGAGCCATCTTGGAGTTAGCTGGAACTGGGTACTGCCATGTAAACCCAGTGCATCATCATTGATTATATAATTGATTATATAAGGAAGCTGGCTGGGAGATATGTGTCATTTTGGAAAAGCTGCTTTGGCTGTTTCTTTTGACATGTTTCTGGCTGTGCTGGGGTGAGACTGCCTAGGTAGATTGTTTAGAGGAGTAAGCTTAACAACTCTAATAAAGCTGCCAAACTCAAGTGATGCATTTGAAATGTTTCTTTATAGAGCTGGTGTGGTTGGATCCTATCCATCCTATGCGTTTGGGTGGAGCAACAATGGACTTTTTTGTGGTTTTCTAAGCAAAAAGGGATTGCAACAACAGTGGCCAAATGGTATGCATCCAAAGAAAGAGCTCATCCAACATGAAACCGTGGCAGTAACAGCACTGTCCAGGTTTTGTCTTGCTGTGGACCTGGAAGAGTTTTCTTCCTTAAAATAAGCCTCATGATGAATAAGGAGGTGAAGCAGCGCCGGTGATCACACACATCTCTGCAGGGATGTGCCTCACTTCTGCAGGAAAGCCCAGCAGAGGGAGCCGCATCCCTTCATGTTGCTGTCCTGGAGAGATGCAATGAGACAACTCAGCTGTGGTGGCTTTCCAGCCACGGGGGGGGGGCACGTTAATTCTTCAGTAAAGCGGTGGGGAGGCAAAAGTGAGCTGGGTCCGGACTGGTCCCTGCTCAGGGGTGGGTGCAGCTGGGGTGCCCAAGCACTGTTGGATTTAGGTATAGGATGACTCTGAATCCCTGGTCTCTTCTGCTCACTTGTCTCACACTATGGTCTCATCATGGTCCCAAATATCCCTGTTCCTGAGCCAAAGTGTTACTGACTCTGCTGATGGAGACAAACTTCTTTGTAGAGCCAAACACTACTTTGAGGCACTTCCAGTGAAGGAGAGATGCTTCCCTCCCACGCCCCAAAACATTTACAGTGACAGCACTGGTCAATAAGCCCATTGCCATGTTAGAGCCAACAGGACTGGGGCTGTGGAGTGAATGAAGACCTCTCAGATGGTCCAAATGGCAGTCTGACAAATGTCACCTCTGATGTGACACCGATGCAATCCACCTGGCTGTGACCAGGGAAGTGGAACGCATTCTCTGCATACATTGTGCTGTGAGGACATCTTCCACAGGAGGATCCCACAGGGCTTTACAGGGATCTGCAGGTCACTGTGGCCACCAGCACCACCCTTCTCTCTGCACTGCTGCAGCCAAGCACCTCTCAGGTGCTTAAGGTGCCAAATTTGGGGTTACGAGTTACAAAAGGTATTTTCAAGCTTTTGACCCAAGCCAAAATGATTCCTAGGTGAACCTGGATTGCCGTGCTGCAACTGGGAGGGTTTGGCTCTGCAGTGCCTGTAGGATGTTTTCTGCTGAGGGTATGTTCAGAAGAAACAGGTTAAGTTTCTCTCATGCCACTATTCATTTTCCATGTGCTATAATACTGTAACTGCCCCTGTGAAGCCAAGGAGTGGGCAGGTGAAAGCTGAGACGTGATGTCAGTGGGAGCAGCACCAGCACTCAGGCACTGTCCTGTTCACAGGGTGGCTACCCAGGGACAACTGCAACTGTACCCCTCTCTGTTTCTCGTGGGCACCTGCCTCTTCGTCCTCCTCCTGCTCATCCTCTTTCTCCTTTCCTGCTGGCACCACTCTTTGAAAGGAGCAAGGCACTGATGACCTTTCTGATGGGGTTGGTGGCAAATTTTCCTTATTCCTGGGCTTCCTTCAGACAGGGCTTCCCACTGCCATGCAGGACACAGCCAGGGTCTCCCAGAGAGGGGCGTTGGGCCATGTCTTTCCTCTGTGAATGAGGTGCCAGTGGCCTGTGCCACTGCTACCACTGATGCATGTTGACATCCTGTCTCCTCTAGCCAGTGCTTTCCCCATAGGAAGACCCTGGGGTGGAGCTTGGCAAGCTGCAAGCAGAGGTCACTTTGGCATCTCTGGCTGGGGGTGTTTTGTGCTGCTGCAACTGTGCTGACCAGTGCAGGCACCAGAGGATGTCCTGTCACAGGCTCTGTGCAAATGTCACAGGCAACTTGCTCCTCTCCCACTCAGGCTCAGTGAAACACCTCCCCCAAGCACAACATGTGTGGTATGAACATCCGAGGTGTCACCTTCAGTCCCAGCTACTGCGTGGGGTGGCTTGTGAGCCTCTGTTCCTACTTCATTGGGAGATGCCTGGACACTTCACAGCTCCCTAGCACTCTCAGAGCTGCTGGGGCTTGTTCCTTGTGCTCAGGCAGCCTTTCCTGTCTATTTAGGAGATGAGAGGCACAGGACTGCCAAATTCCCATTTGGTGAACACATCTTTTTCCACATTGAATGATTCCTAGGTATATTCTCTGCCACCAACACTAATAAATTTGTGAGTGCTGTTTTAAACCTGCATATGGATAGTGGAAATTCAGCTTCAACACTGTCAGTAACTCCAGTGACAAACTAATTTGTTCCTGGGTTTGATTTCTAGTTTCAGGTATTTTAAGAGTTAATACCCAGCAGAGCTTGGTTGTCATGGCTTGACTCATGTACAGAACTTTGACCAATATCACTCTGCCCACCACGGACAAAGAAAGCCAATCATCACCACCACATGTGCAATAGTTGCAGATATTCTTAGTTCACAGATATTTACCCCTCTGCCTTTGGAGCAATGGTGAATGCAGGTGGACATTCAAAGAGTTTGGGAGAGACAAGAGACCATTACAAATGGGGATCTTTAGTGGCACATCTGTGGACTGATGCCCAGTGAGGTACTGTTTGTTCAAAACAAACAAAAAAGTTATGAGATTTGCCTGAATTTCAGTAATGGCACCAAGCTATAGTGAGGAGCAGCAGTATTTAAGGAGATAACACACATTCAGATGTTACCTGTTGCTCAGCAGCGCTGCTCTTTCCCGTGTATCTCATGTTGTTGGGAAAATCAGACACAGCTATGGGATGGAAGCCGTGTTGGGTCAGGATATGGTGGCAGTAGGTACTTGGTAGAGTTAGTGGAAATTCAGTGCTGTTCAGGGCTTTATTGTCAGTGAGACCATCCTGAAGTGTGCATGTTTTGGGTGATATGGACTTGGCACCGTTCAGATTACAGTTGGACTTGATGATCTTAAACATCTTTTCCAACCTAAATGGCTATGATTCTGTGATCATTTCCCTTTGGTATTTCTTTCTGTGCTTGGGTGATTGTGGTGGGAAGGTGCCTTCCAAGGAGAAATGTTAAAGCAAACATGGTGCCCTTTACCATTGCTGGCTATTGGCAGCATTGGACCATTCCCCTCAGACATCTTCACCAAAAGTTCTTGGAGCAGAGGAGAGGCAGTGCTACTTTTTCTCTCCTAGCCAGAGAAACTGCAGAACAGGGGCAGCAGGTGGGACGAGGGCACCCAGGTGAAAGACGGGGACACTTCAAAGACATGTGGGGGAAATTGCAAATCTCTTCCACTGACGTTCATATAAACGCCCAAAGTAAAAGGCATACTGATTATTCAGAGATAAACCTGAAATGTTTCCGTTTCTCTAAGTGTCAAGTACAGAGGCTGTAACACATGTCACAAAGAGGAAAAGATATTTTAGGACTGTGCACCGCAGCAGTGAGGACCTTGCCTGTGGCTTGGCATTGCAGCGTAAGCTCAGGTAAATACTGCCAGCCTATATAATAAATGAAGGTATGCCTGCTTCTTAAAAATATGTCATATAAAGACAATTTTTTTGCACTCTTTAAACACAGTGTTGGATTATGGAGAGGAACTTGACATACCAGCTGGGCAGAGGCGGCTCTGAGGACATGTCGGTGAGTCACTCTCCACCAGGTTGCTCCCCTGCAAGCTGAGACCAGTAGCACATCTTAGAGGTCCAGTTTTGCCTATGGGAACATATAGTACTGAAAGAGATGATGAGGATTTAGAAGAAATCAGTGTGATTGTTGTTAAAAAAAACCATTGAGTGAAAGTATCTTTGGCTGATGAGATTGTGTTGTGGGAAAAGGCTGTCCTTGAGGGTAGAGGTAGTGCTAGGAGTGTCCTATGGAGGATATCCTGACTGGGGTATGTGCTGCCATGCATCTTCTTTAGCTCTTTGCTGTCACAGGTACTGCCCAGGCATGTGGTGGTTGCAGAGAAGGCAAAGCTGGGAAGGAGGGAGGAAGAGGCAGAAAGCCCCATCTGCTCTTTGGGAAGTCACCCCATGGGCCAGAGCTGCTACTGTTGATCTCGCCTGGGGTGGCGAGAAAGTGTGATGTGCAGCACTCACTGGTGACCTGTAAGTGCTGGCACCTTTACAGCTGAAAACTACTTGAATTGTGTAGGAATCCTCAGCAAAAGTAACTTGTCCCATGGAGGACTGTTTTTGGCACTCAACTAACTGGAAATGAAGCTTTTAAGAGATGAATGTTTACATGTCAGTTTCTCTCTGAGCCCTGCTCCCTTTCGCCTTTCAGAAGGAAACATGAAATAGGACCCCAAAATCCATATCAGGGGCTCTCAGCCCCCTGGCCATGCTTATTTCATTGCTGGTTTGGGGATGGTCACTGTCTCTGGCCCCAGTGCCCCACCTCGACTCAGGAATGGGGCATGCCTCCACAAGGAGTCAGGGGAGTCAGCTGCATTCTGATCTCCTCTGCCCCTCTGGTGCAAGAACCTCATCCCAGATCTTGCAGGGGAGGACCAGTCTCTCATGTTCATTCCTTGTTTGCATCCTGTATGACAGCTGTGGCACAGCTGTTTTGTCCTCATGTGGTTTAGCATGAACTGACTCGTGCCTAGTATATTTACTAAGAGGGTAATATGGGATTTGGGTCTTATGAACTTCTTTGTCCTTGAACAGGTGGGTTACACATTGCCAACATCTAACTCCCCTGCAGCCTATGAATCCGCCTTCTACTACCCAGACCTGGGCATCATCTGTAATGCTGAAAATATTCCAGCATTTTCATCTACCTTTTTTCCAGTGCTGTACTCCCTACTGTTTGTGGTAGGCCTTGTGGGAAATGCTTTGGTGATTTGGGTTCTAACAGTTTTCAAGAAAATCAAGACCATGACTGACGTGTATCTGCTGAACCTCGCCATCTCTGACCTTCTCTTTGTTTTCTCCCTCCCCTTCTTGGTTCGGTACTCCATTATGAGTCAATGGACTTTTGGAAATGCTATGTGTAAGATCATCAGCTCAGCTTATTTCATTGGTTTCTACAGCAGCGTCTTCTTCATAACCATCATGAGCATTGACAGGTACTTGGCCATAGTCCAGTCTGTCTATGCTCTGAAGATTCGAACAGCTGCCCATGGGGCTATCACCAGCCTGGTCCTTTGGGTAATTGCCGTTTTAGCATCAATGCCAGACTTAATTTTTTACCAGGAAGTAAATGACAATAACCAGATTAAATGCATCCCTCACTATCCTGGTGGCAACAATGGCTGGAAGACTTTCAGTAATTTTGAAGTCAACATCCTGGGGTGGTTGATCCCTGTTGGTGTCCTCATTTTCTGCTACCACAGCATCTTGAAAAACCTGCAGAAGTGCCATACCCAGAACAAGTACAAAGCAATAAAACTGGTTTTTATTGTTGTAATTGTGTTCTTCCTCTTCTGGACTCCCATCAACATTGTGCTTTTTTTGGACTCTCTAAGGAACATGTACATCATTGATGACTGCCAGACAAGCCAAAGGCTAGACCTAGCTCTGGAGCTGGCTGAGGCTCTCTCCTTCGTCCACTGCTGCCTCAACCCAGTTATCTATGCCTTTGTGGGTGAGAAGTTCAAGAAGCATCTCTCTGAAGCTTTCAGAAAATCTCTATGTTTTCTCTTGGTCTGCAAAGACTACAGAGCTTTCAGTGGACGCAGCCTGGACAAGAACTCCTCTCTGCACACAAGGTCCTCACAGTCGTCTTCTATTGGTACAGTCTTGTAGAACTACATGTCAAAAACTATCATCCTGGACAGGTGTCCTAAAGCTGGGAAATCCTCCCAGAAGGGAATCCACAGAGATGGACTATTTGTGAAACATTTTATGACAGAAAAAGTGGAAGCAGCTGCTTGATTTTGCTTTTAGTGTTGTTACTTTTTAGAGTCTTTTTTAGCACCTTCCTCCTTTTCCCCTAGCACATCCTGCCCTGCCTGCTTCATAAAAGGGTGGTGGAAATTACCAGCAGACTCCCACATTGCCTGAGCAGCATGGAGAGGTGCCTTAGAAACATATCTTCCACCTCTCAGATTCAGTACTGAAAGGAACTGTTTATGTTTCCGAACTCTGGACACTTGGCTGCTCCTTCCCTGGTCTCAGCAGAGTGAATTGGCTTTGTGAGCAGAGGTGGGGCTCACTGCAGGAGTGGGAACCTGCTCTTTGGTGGGAAATGGTATCCAAGTTTAAGGTGTCATGGCAGGGACTGGCTCCCAGTTGACATGTCTGAATGAGGCTTTCAGCCCCAAAAGAACCTAGTGAATAATTGGATAAGCAACAAAGAAATAAATGCTGTCCACATGTTTTTGTGAAATCAACGTGAATTAATATCTAAGTATGATCTTGACACCCCATCTGTTACCAGGGCCTGCAGCTTCTTGGCTGGAAGGGTTTGGAAGCTGCAACCATATAAATAATGGTGTGGGTGTCAAAAAACAACACTTACAGGAATGAATGAGACCTGTAGGAACGGGCGGAGGAATAGTTACCAGGAAAAAGGCTGAAGAGTGGAAAAACTAATGAGTGTGAGCTGAGAGAGTGGTAAGAGTCCTATGTCAAAGCTTTCTGTGGACCTGCTGGCTGGTAAGCCACAGGCCAGGGTGGTGTCTGCTCTCAGCAGAGCCCTGACCTGCTGGCTGAGGAGCTGGCTGTTCTGCAGATGCCTGGAACAGGACAGAGAGAGACAAAAATAGGGGTAATACCTCAAGCATCCTGCAACTCAGGTGGTATCTAAAGCAAACAGCACTGGCTGGTTTTGTGTGGCCAGAGGCCCCTAAAAAACACAGATGACACTCACATGTCCCCATGAGGGAACTTTTTGAACACTTTAAGCAACTGATGTGCCAGTGTGGTCACTGCTCTTTAGCGTACAACTGGGGTTGGCCTCCTAGTTACTGTACCAACTTGATAGCTGATTTATATGTGAATGGTTACTGATTCATATATCTATGTACATATAGATGTGTATATAAAGTTGCACGTACACACAAATAAACACAAATATACACAAATAAACACATGTATACATGTGTGTATATCTAGAAATATCTTTTTTATATATAGAATTATTGATAGATAAATGCAATGGTTTTCTGAAACTTTTATCTCTGATCTGTTTCTCTCTACAAGATATCACCATATTTTAAGTTTTCTAATAAAGATACTGCATGCAGTGTAATTGCACAATTCTTACACCCAAAGAACCTGTTTCTTCTTTATTTCTTTCAGCTTGTGCATTTATTATGGCCTGGACAGTTCTATAAAACTGACAATCCCTTCGGCTGCCTCTTCTCTCCCTCTACTCTTTCCCTTCCTATTCCTCCTTAGCTGGGAAGAAGCAGAAAGTAGATTATCTTTTATTTTAGAAATTTAATTTCTGTAAGCGTCTGCCCCTGTAGTGTTTCCATACCTACTGAGTACCCTTGGGCTTACTCCCTCGAATAAGCAGAACAAAACAAAAATAAAATTCTTTTAAACCACTAATCTTCTTCAGATGGCATTTACAATTTTAATGTGTGCTCCCATTTGCAATCTGCAAGGTGAAATCTTTTGCACAAGCGGGCCAGTAATGAAAGGTGTGTGAGAAATACATCTGCCTCATGCAGGCCATGACACACGTTTCCCAAATTGTAAAGCAAAGACCGTGGCCAGAGGAAAAGGTTTAGCTGCTGCCTAGGTCCCAGCAGCAGGATTGCAACCAGGTGCAGCAGTACAGTCCCTGCCTCTCAGTGCCCTACAACCCTCGGGCAGCCAGGCTATTTTTTTTGGGTATGCAAACAGTCAGGTTCTCTAGAAGGTGAATAATAAAAATTCAGGACAAAGCCAAAGGGTCATAGGCTTAGAGGACAGCACCAGCTATCTCCTCTGCAGATTCACAGTATGAACCCTCTAGATCAGAACTCGCTCAGCTGAAGCACAAGAGGTGGGAATGATTTTTGCAGCCCCACAGCTTTGTCATGCATCTCTTGTGTGAGTAATTGGGACAGGTGCTGGAGCCCATTTGCCCAAGCTTGCGAGACAATGGCCTTTCCCTGGTGTTACTGAGCATCTCTGCTAGGGGATATCTCCTTCCTTTCAGAGGAATCCTTTCATTGATTGCTGTTGTGTAGCTTTCATTGATTGCTGTTGGAGTGAGGCTGTGACCCAGGGCTTCCCCACAAGGGCTGTAACCTGGTGGTGTGAGGGTAGCATAAACATGCAGAGCCTTCTTTGCAAAGTCTTTCACTTCTCTAGCTCTCACTGGAGGACATCCTCTCCTGCTGCTGCCTCAATACTGTTTGCAAACCCTCCTAGTGCAGAAGCACGAGAACCTTTCTGCAGCTCAGTGGATTTTCTGCCAGAGGCAGCTGCCTTCCTCTACTGCAGCAGCAACACCAGGAGCTCTGAGTTGGACCTGACCTCAACTTCTCCTCCTGGCCCAGCTGCTTTAAGCTGCTATCACTGCCTTCCTGTGCAAAGGACGAAGGTGAGACCCACATCCGGAGGGTGCATGGCTGGCAGGACCTGCCCTGTGTAGCTGTGAGTGGGCAGGAACGTCCCTGCAGAATACAGAGTTCGTCTTCTTTCTGAAGGGACAAACCTGAGAGCAGTCTGCTGCCCTGCCAGTGCCTGTGAGGGCATAGAGAGCAGAAGACATCTTCCTGCATTTGTACAAGCTGATGGGCAGCTTGAGGGTAATGGAAATTTTAGAGTCTTCCCAAGAGCTGGGAGCACAAGAAGCTGAGGATAGACCAGACCATCCTGCATAGCCCTGGTGCCTTTTTACCTACTGTGTAAAAAATACCCACCACAGTTGTTATATTGGTCCTGCTCATATCTGCTACTTACTTTCATATCCTGATCTTGTTTTTTCTTTTTGCTGAGATGATGCAGGTTAAAGAAGATTCAGGATGATGTTGGCACATCAAATAGTCAGATATAGTCTTGTTCTTAAAACAGAGACCAGCATAACCGTTACCTATATTCGAGCTTAAACCTAAAATACGTACCATTTTTTTTTCGATTTATTGGTGTTACTAGCACAGAGGGTCCCTTCTACAGATGGTCTCTGTTTAGAAGGACGGAATCTTTGTCTGATGCCACCCATGATGCTCTGCATGTGTGGATGGAAAGGCCTTAACAGGCTGGAGCATTGCAGTGGCATCGGGGGGCTCGTCTTGCCTGATGGTCACTTAATACACTCTGCAAACCTGTGCTGCAGTTGTAGAGAACAAAAGGGTATGTTTAGGGACCATGCTGTTGAACTATGCCAGCAAAAAGTGGGATGTATGAGGACATGTTAGCTTATGGTGTTGCTAGATCCCTTGGAAAATAGTGTGAAGTGGGGCCTAGCAGATTGTTCCCCGTCTCAGCTCTGAGCTGCAGGACTGCCGCTTTTAGCACAGGGAATGATAGTCTTAGTATCTTGTTCCAAAACAGCATCCTGGACTAAGAAACTAGTCCATATCTGGCCTTTTCTGGCATTATACTCAAGCCTCCTTCCTAAGGCAACATGGAGACGACACTAATTAAATCCTTGGCAGAGCTTCTGGCTTTCAAGTCACTTGTTCAGGCCATTGCACACAGTCTAGGGATGAGGATGGGAGCTTCTGACTTGATCCTTTCTGGAGGAGTCCTCCCAGCCAGCAGCACAACTCTGCCTCTTTCTGCTGTGGTATTATCCAGCTACACCTGGAGGTCAGAACCAGTCAAAACTTTAACAAGGGAAAAAAGAAAGGTTAATGAAGGGTATCTGTGTCTCATGCTTCTCTCAGCTGAAAGATACCCCCGTACCTCGATGGGCCTGCATTAGCATGCACAAAACTCCCAAAAGCCCTGTTAATTGTATCATGTCGAGGATAATCCTATTTTATTTTCAGCCTCTTGAAAACACCAATTATTTATACACCAGTATGTATATATATATATATATATTTTCATATTATATATGTATTCCAGTAATGAAGCACCATAGAAATTAATAACTGTGCCAGTAGAGGATCCAGAAAGAACCATGACAGAAAAAAAATAAAGATGACTTTAGGTATTCTCTCTGGATGTAAAAATAGTTTGGGAAATTGAAAGGTAATTATAACCTTAGTCTGAATATGTCATATTTAACTGTAATGTGTGGGCTGACATGCATTTCTGGTTAATGTACCTTAAAGGTTAATGTCCCTTAAAGGCAGCAAGTAGTGCTGGGCAAAGCAAAGCCGCTGCTGTCATACGTCAGTTTTGACACACAGGCTCTGAGCAGTGCGCTCCTGCATGTCTGTGCACTTCTAGATAAATCCGTGTTTCTGCTGCGTCGGCTGACACACCAAAATGTACAGAGACCCGTCACAGAAATCCCCACCTCAGAAGAGCAGTAGAGTGATTTGGGTTTCCTCAGCCACTGCTGACGAGTGTGTCTGATGGGACCTCGTCTGATCCAATGCCGTGCTCGTCTCGTGGCTGCCAGGACTGTCTGTGCGGGTCTGCTGTGTTTTCCAGAAGCCAGTGCAGCCAGTTCAATGCCAGGTGAGCAGCTGGGTCACGCTTACCATGTAGGATGAGCTATATGCAAGAGGAGCCTACCACCAAGCAAACAGCAATGTTTGCTCTGTTACTCCAGAAAACACCATTTTTCCTCGCCATACTCCAGTATCCAGGCAGCCTTCCCAGTAATATTAATGAGTGTGCAACATGTGCATGCGCCTCTGGATCAGCAAGACAATTATCCCTTAATTCACTTGGCACCCTTGGAGAATATTCAGTCTCTGTAATCCTCCACA